AGACCCCTGCAGCTAGAGTTACAAGTGGTGGTGAGCCCCCTGACTGGAAATCCATCTCTGGTGATCTGCAAAAGCAATACTTACTCATAACCACTGAGCCATCCTCCTAGCCCTTATTTCTGACTTTTTGAGACAGGGTCTCATGTAGTGCAGGCTACTCTCAAACTATGCAACTGGGCCTGAACTTAACCACTGGTCTTCACAGGCCCATTTCCCCATGCTTAGATTAAATGCTTATTTTACAAAGCTCAAATCTAAGGGTGGAGACAGACGTCATTCTGTGCTGGCTCCTGCAACTCGCGGGTGAATGACTTTAGGCAAGTCCTGCCCAGATCTCCTTATTTTCCTCACCTGAAGCTGAGAGCTGTTCTTGTGGCTCTCTTTTGTTTGTTGAGTCTCAATATGAGGTCAATGTGTGGCTGAGACTGACCTCGAATCCCCTCTGCAGTCCTGGCTGGCCTTGACCTCCTGATACCCGCGTTCGTCTTTGAATGCCGGGGTAGACCAGAACAGAGCATTGGATCCTCTGGAGCTGGAGTTACAGGCAGTTGCACCTGACTTCAGCACTCAATTCCAGTCCTCAGCAAGAGCCAGTAAGCACTCTTAGCTGCTGAGCAGTCTCTCCAGTCCCATCAATTTCTTCTTCATTTCTACCTCCTGGTCCTGGCTCCCTAGGGCTCCAGGCTCCTCAGCATGTCTTCTCTTGGGTATCCCAGGGAAGCTTTGCAGACAGTATCCAGTGAGGGGCTGACACCGGCTCGGGAAGTTAAGTTCCAAACTGATTGGGCTGATTTAAGGACGCCTGCCCTGATGAATCCACAGGAGGAACCACGCTGCGCAGACTGGGAGGGACTAATGTTGAGGAACTGTAACTGACCAGCCAGATATTCTTGAGAAGCCCCGCCCACACAGGTACCAACGAGCGGGCGCATGCCTGTTCAGAACAAATCAGACTCTGAAGGTGCCAAGTGCGAGTCTACGAAAAGTAGCGGATTTCCCTCTTCTGAGCTGGTCCTTCAGCAATCAGCACTGCAGTTAAAAGCTTTTTTTTTTTTTTTTTTTTTTTTCCTTGAGTAGGTGGTTTTACACTCTGCAAAAGCGGGGCATTCCCACCTCAATACCTCCGTACAAGTAGGTGGTGGGTTGGTGGAAGATAGCGATCTAGGAACAAATGCCTGTTCAAGCTTGACTCCCATAGCCAACCAGAAGACATCGTGTGTGTGCCTTTGTTTTCTACCCTGTGACCTTAGTCATCCATAACCAACCTAACAAGACTTAGGAGGAAGCCTAGACTCTCCCTCCCACATCCAAGCCCTCCCTGACCTATTTCCAACATGGCCAATCATTTTCCCTTCGTTCCTTTTGTTTTGAGATGGGATTTTTTTCAGTATCCAAGGCTGACCTGCTACTGGAACTCACTGCGTAGCCCAGGATGGCTTTAATTAAGCCGGAAGATCAGGGATTGCAGGCACGCTGAGCCATCACACTTGACTTTTCTGTCCCTCCTCTGGTCTCATTCTCTCTTTTCCCAAACCTGCCAACGACACTCGCTCCCTCTCACCTTGCACTCTGGTCCCTCTCTAAGGGATTTGTTTCTTTGGAAGAAGCAAGCCATTGTAGAGGGTTCACCTTCATATAACTGCTTCCTCTAAATTCAAATTAAAGCACAGAGAGTAAAACATAAGTCCTGTGAGCTCCTGAAACTTACAAGATTTACAAGGCCCTCCCCCGAGTGTGTGTGTGTGTGTGTGTGTGTGTGTGTGTGTGTGTGTGTGTGTGTGTATACAAACATACATACATGTATGCCACAGGGCTGCTATGGAGGAGACTCTTCTACTGCCCCAATTGCCTGAAAGCTGTGCAGGGAGCTCCAGGGCTACAACTTTCACCAGTCATCACTCATCCTGGGGTGGGCTTTGTGGTGGTGCAACTGCTCTTGAGTTGTCCATATTCCTGTTGATAACTCCTCACCCACACTCCTGTAAAACCTCATTCATGAACCAAGCTAGACTTGGGTGTATCTTTGGTTAAGCTGCTGGTGCCCTCTTTGGCAAGGTGAATAGATGTTTCATTTTTCAGGTCTCCTTGGGAAAAGTAACTCAACACCTATTTATACACAGATTCATACAAATAAATCTCCATTGGGGCCAGAGAGATAGCTAAGCAGATAAAGGCACTTGCTGTCAAGTCAGATGACTTAGTATGACCCTCAGGACCCACATAGTGGAAGGAGAGGACCACTCTCACGAGCTGTTCACTGACCACCACATTTCTGTACACCGACAGGATAAATGAGATGCAATAAAAAAATAAAGCCACAATGATAAGAACTCACTTTTGCAAATTACAAAGACCAGGAACAAATAGCCCTGTAAGAGTGAGATAAAAGCTAAACTCGGGGCTTGGAGAGATGACTTACAGAGAATTCATTCAGTTCTCAGCGCCTGCACTGTGAGCACTGTCTGTTACTACAGCTCCAGTGGACCAAATGCCCTCTTCTGGACTCTAAAGGTACTCTCTCTCTCTCTCTCTCTCTCTCTCTCTCTCTCTCTCTCTCTCTCTCTCTCTCTCTCTCTCTCTCTCTCTCTCTCTCTCTCTCTCTCTCTCTCTCTCTCTCTCTCACACACACACACACACACACACACACACACACCAGTACTTGGGACTCCACAAAGTCTGGCCCTTCAGAAATAAACACCCCCTCACTTTGGGCCTGCTTTGCACTCTTGAGCTTAGAATCTCTCTCCAGTTGGAGCCCACAGCCTGCTGCTTCCTCTGACTGAGTCATAATATGTTAGGTCTCTATACTGAAGGGACCAGTATTGGCACAAGACATCCCAAGACCAAGTTCTCAGCACAAAGATTTATTTGCCCAAGAGAGACAAAGGGCAGGGAAAAAGAGACACAGACAGGTGACAGAAGATGAGGCAGAAGGGGGAGTAAACAAGGGAGAGGGGTGAGGCATATTTGTTCTGAGGGACAGAGGGCTGCCTCTGGATAGAGGGAGATAGACATGGCCCATCGGCAAATGGCAGTTTATGAATGTAAAGGGGAAACCCTGTGTTAGGATGAAGTGTTTAATTTTAATTGGCCATGTTAGGTGAATCAAAGGGACCCTTTGATTGCTGAACTTTAATACTTTGATAGCTGGAGCTTAATAGTCAGCCTCAGCTGGAGGAAGAAGCCAAATAATAGAACAGCCCTTGGTGGTTACCTTAGGAAAGCAATCTAATGGTTTTTAGCATGGCAGAGGGAATGGAGAGAAAGGCAAGGCCTGCTAGAGCCCATGTTTGCATGCACATGTGTGTCTGTCCAGCTGTCTGTCTGTCTGTGTCCCTGTCTGTGGAACTGGTCATGAAGAAAGGGATCAAAATCCCTTGTTTCACAGTGCCATGTGCATTCATCTTTCTCTCCCGTGACTCTGCCTCCAAGTGAAACGTGTGTCTTTTGGCTCATCCAAACAACAAATCATATCGGTGACCTTTAACAGTCCTGAGCCCAGGCCCAGTGGTAGTCTCCACACCTTGGAGTGTATGGGATGTGTAAAGGCTTAAAGGGCCTGTGAACTCAAATTTACAGGACCTCAAGTTTATCATGGAATTGGCGTTTCTGGTGTCTCTGTGGGTTTTTGTAGTTCTGGGGATAATGGGAACTTCGAATGTGATGCAGTTTCCACAGGCTTCGTTGGCTTCGGGCTATCTTCTTTTTCCTGGAAGGTGAAAAGGCAGGACAAAGAGAGATGATGGAACAGATTTACAGGTGGAGTAACCACACCTGAAGAGGAATGCTAAGGAAACATGGATCAAAAGCTGACTTTCCTGACAATACCATGGCTGGAACCTATACGCCTCTCCTCCCTCTAGCCCCTCCCTGGTGCAATTAGGGGCTCCCCAAATAACCCTGATTCCTGAGATGTTGCATTTGATGGCCTCAGGCAAGTGTTCCCCACATTCTGTGTCACTTTAACCCCTGGCTCAGTCCGCTTTCTGTGAGGACACCTTTCCCTACCAGCTCAGTTACTCCCTGAGGGCAAGGGCAAGGTCTGATCCTTTCCTGGGACCTCACACTGCCCAGTGCAGACTAGGAAGCAGAAAGGACATAAACCGGGGACAGTATATAGAAACTTAACCTGCCCACCACACCCCACACTCCACACCCCACTTTCTTCAACCAGGCTCTACCTCCTAAAAGTTCCATAATTTTCCAAAGCATGACCCCCAGCTGGGAAACAAGTGTTCTAATTACATGAGCTTACAGGGGCAGGGGGTGGTTCACATTCAAAGTACAGCACATGACTTCTCCACAAAGGGACACTAGCTCTGTGCACAGGGTGTTAGGAGGGAGCTGGTGAGGTGGTGGTAGGAATCACTTTGCCCCCAGTTGGTGGCACTATTTGGGGAGCCCAGTCTTGCTAGAGGAAGTATGTCACTGGGGGCGGGCCTTAAGTGTTTATAGTCCCACCCCACTTACTACTGTCTGCACTCAGACTCTTACTTGCATCTGAACATGTGAGCTGTCACCTTCCTGCTCTTGATGCCATACCTGCCACCACCACCACAATGGACTCTTCACTCTCTGAAATAAACCCTTCGTTGGCCTTGGTGTTTGATCACAGCAACAGAAAAGAAACTAACAGCAGCAGAATGCCTATGGTCCTGGAGACTCACAGATGGTCAGTAAGAATGAGGCTTGACAGTCTCCAGCACTGTTCCAGCCAAGATGTCCTGGAGTTGGAGGGCTCAGGGTGAAGGAAGGAGCAACATGGTGTTATGGTTTGGATATGGAATAAGACACATGCTCCTTGTGTTGAACACTTGCTCTCCAGCTGCTGGTACTATTTTTGGGAGATTGTAGAACCCCTGGGGCTGGATGAATGACTGGCACAGGCTGCTCAATGAGGGTGAACCTTTGGGAGTTATAGCTTGGCCTTGCTTCCTGCCTGAGCTCTCTGCTTCCTTTTTTCTTTCTTTTGTGTTGTTTTTAAGATATGTGTTTTTATCTTTGTGTCTGTGTGGGTATGTGAGCATGTGTGCAGATGTCTACAGAGACCAGAAGAGGGCATGGGATCCTCTGGAGCTGGAGTTACAGTCAGTTGTGGGCTTTCTGATGTGGATGCTTGGAACAGAACTCAGGGCCTCTGGAAAGAGAAGGAAGTGCTCTTCACCACTAAGCCATCTCTCCAGCCAGAAAGTGTTTATTTTGACTCACAGTTCAAGGTGCAGTCCATTAAGATGGGGAGCTCCAGGCAACAGGAGCTTGAAGCAGCCACTCACATCACACCCACAGTCAGAAAGCACAGCATTGAAGTTACACATGCCAGCAAGTGTTTAGCTCAATCTCCCCACTTATACAGTTTGTGACCGCTGCCAGGGAATGGTGCCACCCACAGTGGGCAGGTCTTCCCACCTTATTCAGTGCAATCAAGACAGGTCCCACAGGCACGTCCAGGGGCCCATTCCTGACACTGACCATCACAGACTGTATCCCATGAACCATGAGCCTAACCAAGTCCTTTAAGTTGCTTCTGTCAGTTATTGGTCACAGATCTGAGACTTAAGTGCTACCTAATCTCCAAGCATTGGCACTGACTTGGACCTTAGGCTGTAAGTGGCTACTGCCTGCTGCACACCAGAGGCCAAACCTGTGGTTTCCATTCTGATGCTACACTACTGCTAAGGGGCATCAACCCACTTCCCAGCAGGGATTCAGAGTGTGTGTGTGTGTATGTGTATATGTGTGTGGTATATGTGTGTGTATTTGTATGTGTGTGTGTTGTGTGCATATGGAATGTATGTGTGGATATGTAGTGTGTATATGTGTGTGGTGTAATGTGTATTTGTATATGTGTATGTTGTGTGCATATGGTATGTATGTGTGGGTGGGTGTGTATGTGTGGTGTGTTGTGGAATATTACCTTAACTATGTAAAGATGTGTTACATTTGTTTATTTGTATTTGTTTAACTATGTAAAGATGTGTTGCATTTGTTTCACCTTGCCTGCCTAAGGCACCTGATTGGTCTAATAAAAAGCTGAGCAGTCAATAGCTAGGCAGGAAAGAGCTAGGTGGGCAGAGAGAATAAATAGAAGGAAAAATCTAGAAAGAGAGAAGAATGAGAGGAGAAAAAGGAGGGACAAAGAGGGGGAGATGCCAAGGGCCAGCCAGCCAGCTAGTCACCAGCCATCTAGATGGAGTAGGACATACAGAAGGAAAAAAAAGTAAAAGGCCCCAAGGCAAAATGTAGATGAAGAGAAACAGGTTAAAATAAGTTATAGGAGCTAGTGGAACAAGCATAAGATAAGCCTGAGCATTCATAGCTAATTTATAAGTCTCATGCCATGATTTGGATGCTGATTGGTAGTCCAAAAGCCTGCTACAATGGTGTATATGTGTTTATGGTATGCGTGCACACATATATGTGGTGTGTATGGTCTGTCTATGTGTATGTATGTGTGTGGTACATGTGTTTGTATGTGTATAGGTGATGTGCTTGTGTTTACAGGTGTATGTGTGATGTGTGCATGGAGTGTATGTGTGAGGTATGTATAGTGAGTGTGTACATGTGTGCATGTTGTATGTGTGTATTGTGTGGTGTGTATGGAGTGTGTGTGTGCATGTTGATGGTTCTAATTATCCTTTAAACTATGTGTCTTAGTTTCTTCCATGAAGCTCTTCTGGTCTCAACTTCAGTACCTACGAAACAGCCCTCAAGCTAATTGTGATTGGCACGTTCCAGGCTGGACACTATCTCTCCCAAGCAGCACAAAATCTTCTCCAACCAACACTGTCCTGATAGACCGATTGCATTCTGGCGCAAGGGGCACTCACTGAGAGCTGCTTCCCAGAAGGTGACTCAGTTCTGGATTCCCTAGGCTCCTCGGGCTTCACACTGGATTCTGGGTCTGTGGCAGCCTTAGAGACCATCTGTGCTCTTATCTGTGCACACTTCTTTGCCTGCTGCGTCCTGAGCAGTTTCACTCTAAGGAAATGTGTTTCTGGTCAGTTCCGATTTCCTGCCTCTGCATCCCCACGTGGGCCCTGCCTTTGTTTGGTATTCAAGTCTGGAGTCTCAAAAGTACTGCCTGCTTGATGTGTTATCCAGGGATAACTTCCCTTGCAAGTTGGCTTCACATCCTGTGTAATCAGGATTCCCTGCTTAGCAGGCCATGGGCTTCAGATGGGCCAGCTGTGAAGGGTCCTTGCACTCTGTGTGTGTGTGTGTGTGTGTGTGTGTGTGTGTGTGTGTGTGTGTGTGTGTGTGTGTGTGTTTTGTCTCATTGTATGTCTGTGCACCACATGTGTGCCCTTAGAAGCCAGAAGAGGGTGGCAGATCCTCGGGAACTGAAGATACAACTGGTTGTGAGCCAACATGTGGGTCCTAGGAATTAAACCTAGGTCTTCTGCAAAAGCAGCTGGTACTCTTAACTATTGAGACATCTCTGCAATTCCTTGTCATTTATTTATTTACTCGTTTATTTATTCATTTATTTGCTTGCTTGCTTATTGAGACAGGCCAGTCTAGAACTTACTACAGTACGGATGATGACCTTGAACTTCTAATCTTCCTGCCTCTACCTCCTGAGCGTTGAGATTATGGGTATGCACCACCACATTTGGCTTATATAGTGCTAGGGATCAAACCCAGGGCTCTATGTATGCTAGGCAAGCACTGAGTAGCAATCCCACCCTGTGTTTGCCTTTAAATCCAGCCCCTCTCCCTGCTGGACCACATCACTTCTCCTCTTCTTCTCCCCCTGACAGATAGCTACTCAGTCCCAATTACCATCCTTCTCATTGCCAGATAGATTAGAGGGGTCCGGAGGTGGGCCCTCAGGATAGCATCAGTGACTTTATGAGAAGAGGTGCTTGCTCTGGATCTCACCATGTGATATAGCATGAAGGCCTTTGCTGGATCTAGATGCCAGCACCATGCTCTTGTACTTCCTCAGCCTCCAGAGCCCTGAGCTAAATAAAAGTAAACCACTGTATTTCATAAATTCGTTCATCGAAGATGTTTTGTTACATAGCATAAAATGGGCCAAGACATACTCACATGAAGGGGAGGAGGCAGAGGAAAAGCAGTGTGGTTGCCATGGCTGCATAGACAACACCCTGGAGCAGTGCTTTCAGGAAGATCTGGGGAGCCAAAGGGCCCCTTCCTGGAAGTAGAAGGCATTTCGGTAAAGCTTTGAGGCTTTGTTTTTATAAGCAAAAGTATTCTAATATTACATTTACTTACTTATTTGTGTGTGTGTGTGTGTGTGTGTGTGTGTGTAAAGGGGGATTGCATGTTCCATAGTGTGCATGAGGAGGTCAGAGGACAAGCTGCTGTGGTCTGTTTTCTCCTCACACCATGTGGCATCTAAGGCTTGAACTCAGGTTGTTAGGCTTGGTAGCAAGCACTTTTCTCTGTTGAGCATCATGTACACCCTCAGGAAGACTTTCTTAAGGTTCAGATTCCAGGCTGTGCTCCCCGTTCTGGCCTCGTGCCAGTTCACTGCCCTCACCCAATCTCCAAGTCCCTGCACTCACTTGACATCAGTAGGATGCTCAAACCATGGGTTCCATGTTGGTTCTTTCCCTCACAAAGAAGGACTGTGCCCATTTCTGGGTCCTTGACCAGGCTGAGGGTGCTGTTGTCCCAGGGGCCAAGTGTGGTAGAGGTCACCTGGAGGTGGCCCTGCCCACTGCTCACGTCCACTAGAGCACCATTCATCCACCACTGCACAGAGGGTGTGGGGATCCCATGAAAAAGACAACTGCACTGCAATGTCTTCTCCACAGCACAGAAAGAGTTGAGAAGTCTGGCAGGTCCTGTGGAGAGGGAGGGTCAGGGGTCAGCAAGGTGACCTGACTTGCCCCTTATTCTTCCTTAAGGACCCAGCCCTCTTTTCATTGTTTGCCACAGTGGGGATGAAACTCAAGGCCTCCCACATGCTAGATAATGCTCTACCACTGAGCCCCATCCCAGCCCCTCCCTGGGGGATTCTGGGTAGGTGCTCTACTGCTGAGCCATGCTCCCAGACCCTTACTTGGGGATTCTAGCATGGGTTCCACCACTGAGTCATAACCCCAGCCTTCACTGGGGGATCCTAGACACAGAGATGATGTCTAATCCACAATGATAATTTGTCCTCTTTCTTCACAGTTCCATCTGCAGCTTCCTCAGACAGCTCTAGAGGCGCTTCTTGTCCCACTTACCCGGCTGTAGCTGCGGCATCCCCCTATGCAACAGCAAGACACACACAACTCTTCACAGGGCAGCATGAGGTGATGGCAACTGAAAGAAGATGCGGAGGTAGGTGAGCAGAAACTTCTTCACAAAGCAAAGGAAAAGGACCACTCATATTGGGCTCCTTGACACAGCCAAGGCTCCCTGGTCATAAGTGATTCTTACTTTCACAGCAAACATGAGCCTCATTTTTGTTCTGTCAACTTTTTTTCTTTCTTTTTTGTCAGCTTAAACCTCATTCTGGATGTTGGAAGGAGCCCAATATGAGCCCTGGCTCAAGCTTTGCCGGTAAATCACTAAATAATTGGTCAATTATCATTCCCTTCTCCAATTTCATTTTCATATTCACATTACAAGGTGGGATTTATTGCTGGAGATGTAGTGATCAGTCTAGCTTCATAATTCTGATTTCTTCTTGCTCTTCTCGGTCAGGCTTTAGGAGTATAGGTGTGACGGCTACTAACGGGTCCCTTCATGATTGTCCTTTGCTCATAAATTCTCTTCATTTTACTTGGTGTCTTGTTCTCCAAGCTCCATTAAATTCTTTTTCTTCAGCACACTTCCATATGTCTGTCTCCCTATCTCCCTCTTGCCAGGAAAGTGCTCTCCAACTTGGATTTTGTTTTGTTTTGTTTTACACAGAATCTTAGGTAGCCGAGGCTGGCTTTTCTATGCAGAGGGTGACCTTGAAATTCTGATTCTCCTGCCTCCACCTCCCAAGATCTAGGATTATACGTGTGTAATTGGGACTAATTTACCAAGAGAGTAGTGGGAGCCTAATTAATGGATGAACCTGTCAGGTTATGACAGAGATGGATTGTGGGATTAACTGACATGGGCTCTAACCTGATAATTAACTCCCTCGCTTCTTGTTTGTTCTATTAGTAGAATGGTGATCCACTGGCTTCTTTTGAGGCTAAGTTGGTGACACACTGAAGATGACCAAGGGGGGACAGGCTGACCAAGTGACTGAGGGGTGACAGGACAAACAAGAGAGAAAGATGGAACAAACAAGTGACTTGAAGGGTAAGAGGCTAACTAGGTGACTGACGGAGTGGGAGTGGGCAAGATGAAGAAAAGCTGATCAGATGACTGAGGAGTGACGTAACAGGCTGACTAGCATGAGTAAACAGACTAAACTGGCACCTGGTGAACTGAGCCGTGCACAGTCGCCTTCTGCTGAACCAGAATGGGCTTTGGACGAACCAAGGAGCTCGCGGTACCTCGGTGCTGAGGTTGCAGAGCGGCTTAACCGCCTTGTGGCTGTCTCGTGAGAGGTCCAAGGATACGCTGTCTGAGGACTGCTTGACTAAGGGAGGAACTCCACGTCCACAGAAGCCCACAACGACACACAAGAATCCCATGGACCAGGCAGCCCATCATATTCTGTCTGCCAGGCTAGCGTGTCACAGGAGGGCCGTGTGACAGTCCCTGAAGCACATAAGCATCCTGTGCGTGTGCCTGTCTACAACGTGGTGAAGTATGAGCATCTTACCCGGCAGCCAATGGGTGGCTGCGCTCCTATGCTACAACCAATAAGTGAGATTATGAAGCTTTGCATTGCGCACTTGTCTCTGGAAGTTGATGCAAAGTCATCACAGTCAATCAGGAGCTGAACACGCATGCCCCACCCATCTTTGTGGGGGCTCTGAGCCAATCAGGAGCTATTTCGAGATGCTGGAAATTTGGCACCAGTTTCCTCCATGAAGCTTCTCTTGGGTCCTCAATCACGTCACTCTTGGCCTCTGACCCTGCTTACTCCCTTTCCTGTTAGTCCTGCTTGATTTTCTCCTACTTTACTCATTACAAACTTTCGGACACATTAATTCACATTTTCAAAACTGCTTTTTAGATACTCAGTTATATTGCTCAGTTATAGCAAATTTGCATTGGCTGACTATCCCACTAAGACTACACACCTTGCAGGTCTTGTCACGTTTTGTTGTTTTCACAACTGTCTCCTCTGGTTGAAATATTGACTGTGCTTTGTATTCTTCGATGAGTATAGTTTATCCATGGGCAGGTTAAAGGAGCAAGACATCAGGGTTTGGGTGCTAGGTCTTTGCTTAGCCTCCTAAGATGCTGTCAAGTGGATGCACACTTTACAACATGCTGCATATCAGCCACCTGAGAGAACAGTCATTTTTTAAAAAAATTAGCCATTCTGTTGTGTGTGTGATACTAACTCACTGAGATTTGAATTCACATCAGCCTGAGGATCAATACAATATTATCTTATATTCTGTTTTAAGCAATTTATCAGCATTATTATTCTCTCTCTCTCTCTCTCTCTCTCTCTCTCTCTCTCTCTACGAGTTCAAGGGAGTCTCTGTCTCCTAAGTGAATGTCACCCATGTGCAGGTGCCCATGGAGTCCAGAAGAGGACTTGATCCCTTGAAAGCAGAGATGGAGATGGTTGTTAGCTGCCTGTGAGGAGTGCCAAGAACTAGTGTGTGATAGGCTTTTCCTGAGGAGTTGCACACAAACTTCTATTCACCCCAGAAAGGAAATCTACAGCAAACCAAAGCAGCAAGTGCACAAATGCTCAATTTAGTGAATCAATGAGTTTGTTTTATTGTGTTACTAATAGAAGCATACATAAAATTGAAAGTGTACTACACATTTTACATTTAAAGGTCTATTTTTAGCACTCGCACAAGTGCAAGTGCCTGTAGAAGCCACAAGAGGGCATCAGAACCTCTGGAGCTGGAGTGGCAAGGCGTTTTCAGCCAATTGATGTGGGTACAGGAAAATGACTTGGATCCTCTACAAAAGCCATAGATGTTCTTAATCAGTGAGCCATATGGGATGTTAAGCCGAGTCTTACACTTAAAATTTAATGTAAACAAATAACTTCTAAGTGATTCTGGGATTAGGCATTCGTAAGTAGCAGTAAGATATAAGAAAAGAATGTAAAGCCCCAATTTTAAACCCTCCTGTTTTTCCTATTCCTATGTAAGCAACATTCCCAAGTTTGAATTTTATTTTTAAACAAAATTTAATGGCACTTAAAATTAGACAAAACAGCTAAAAGCATGAGTGGACCGGCTGGAGAGATGGCTCGGTGCCTAAGAGCACTGGCTGCCCTCCTAGAGGATCCAGATTTGGTCCCAGCACCTACATGGCAGTTCACAATTGTCTGTAACTCCAGTCCTGAGGATCCAATGCCCTCTTCTGACCTCTGTGAGCACTGCATGTATGTGGTCACAGACATAGATGGAGGCCCTCATACACATAAAAAATAAATAATTAAATCTCTGCAAACATGAATAGAAAATAAATGAATAACAGCATGATGAAGAAAACCAGGTATGGGAGCTGGGCATGTTGATTCAGGCTTATAATACCAGCATGTGGGTTACTGACAGGAGGACTGTCATGAGTTCCAGATTGGCCTGGCCTCCAGAGTAAGACAACAAAACCCAAAAATTCTAAAACAACAAACAAACAAACAAGAACATAAAGCCAGGTGAGGGAAACCACTGGCATCTAAGAGTAGAAGTTGGGTCTCTGCTTAACATCCCATAGGACACACACACACAGACACACACACATATACACACACACAGACATGCACAC